ACGGCTGCTCCCGCATCCCCAAATCTTCACTGGTTTACCCCAAATTCCCTTTGTATCGCCCCAAATCTCCAACAGAGATTTCCAGTATTGTAAAGTGCTTTCAGCCCTGCAATGAGCCACAGTCCACTCATTAATTAATTGGACAGCTATGCCTGACTTTTGCAACCCCTCATCCCCATCTCCCCTTTGTCCCGCAGGGCTTCGGGCAGCCGTGACCCTGCTGGAGTCAGGGGGGGACATCCAGCCCCCCGGGGGTTCCCTGTGCCTCCTCTGCCGAGGGTCCGGGTTCAATTTCGGGATTTATAAAATGTTCTGGGTCCCCTAGAGACCTGGGCAGGGGCTGGAATACGTTTCAGATATCAGCAACACTGGTGGCTACACCGAGTATGCGCCATCGGTCAAGGGCCAGGTCACGACCTCCAGGGACAACGGGCAGAGCTCGGTGATGCTGACCATGAACAACCTCAAGGACAAGGATTCTGGATCCTATTTCTGTGGGAAATGTGCTTACACTGGTGGTGGCAGTTCTGATGCTGGTGCTATTGATGTGCCGGGCTTGGCCCCATTCCCCAACCAGCATTGCAGGAGCATCCGGGCGAAGAACGGTCAGGACAGACGGACGGACACGAGAGATCTCTGCAGCCAGGTTGTGGCATTTGGGGTTTATTGCAAAGGATGGACTGCAGGGCCCTGCTGGGAGCTGCCAGGCACAGCTGGAGCAGGGCTGAGAGAAGAGAGGGGAGAGAGGATGAGAGGGTGAGACAGTGAGAGAGTAAAAAAGGTAAATGAGTAAAAGGGTGAGAGAATAAAAAGGGTAAGAGAGTGAAAGAGTCAGTGAATAAAATGGTAAGAGTGTAAAACGGTAAGAACATAAAACTCTAAGAGCATAAAAGGGTAAGAGAGTGAGGTTCTGACCACAATACAATAAATCTTCTTCTCTGTAGAATATTCTAATCCTCACTAACCAATCTGGTCCAATATACAAATCCTACAGCATTTACATACAGCCTATAAGAATCGTTTCATTACCGTACTGTGTTACATTTTAAACCCTAAAAATTGGTCTTTGGGACCCTTCTGCTAACACTAATACCTAGTCTTTGGAAACCCTAAAAACTCCTTTTTGGAGTAACTTTAAACCCTAATACTCCCTTTTGGAGTAACTTTAAAACCTAAAACCTCCTCTCTGGGGTAACTTTAAACCCTAAAATCTCCTCTTTGGCCCCTGCTGCCAAGCTGTGCGGTCTGCTCTGACCCTTGGAGCTGTCTGCAGGCAGAGGGTGTTGTTCCATCAAAATGGGATCACCTTCAGCAGGCCACACTGTTGTTTTCCAGTTGTTCAGTCACTGAGGGATCTCAAAGCTTGCTTTCCTTTCAATCTCGCTGATGGTTTCCATATTCTCAAAATCTTTTGCCAGGCACTCATATTGATAAGGCTTTGCTGTTCCATCTTCCCCAACCAGCATCAGCATAAGCATCGTGACCATCGGTGTCCTTGGCACAGAAACAGGATCCGGAATCGTCGTCCTTGAGGTTGTTCATGGGCAGCGTCACCGAGCTCTGCCCATTGTCCCTGGAGATCCTGAACCGGCCCTTGACGGAATCCGCGTTCCTCGTGACGCTACCACTGCTGGTGATGGTTCCGACCCACTGCAGCCCCTGCCCGGGTCTCTGGCGGATCCAGGCCATCCCAAAATTCCCAAGACTGAACCCGGACCCTCGGCAGAGGAGGCGCAGGGACCCCCCGGGGGGCTGGAGGTCCCTCCCTCATTCCAGCAGGGTCACGGCCGCCCGGAGCCCTGCGGGACAAAGGGAAGATGGGGGCGAGGAACCTGATTGGTCAAGGGACTCAAAGTGGGTGCGGCCTGCTGGAAAAGACTCGGCACCCATTTTGGGGAAGGATGAGAAGGTCTAGGGGTCAGAATTTGGGGCCAATAATCAGAATTTTGGTCAAGGGTTGAGCTTTGGCCTCATTCCCATCTCCCCTTTTTCCCGCAGGGCTCCAGGTGGCCGTGACCCTGCTGGAGTGTGGGCGGGACCTCCAGCCCCCCCGGGGGGTCCCTGCGCCCCCTCTGCCGAGGGTCCATGTTCGATTTTTACAGCAATTTTGCCATGAACTGGATCCGACAGAGACCCGGGCAGGGGCTGGAATGGCTCGCTGGAATCTACAAAACTGGTTCCAGCACCTACTATGTGCCATCGGTCAAGGGCCGGTTCACAATCTCCAGGGACAATGGGCAGAGCTCGGTGACACTGACCATGAACAACCTCAAGGATGAGGATTCCGCCACCTATTTCTGTGCCTAATCTTCTGACTGGTGCTGCTCTTGGTGCTGTTATTGGTGTTAGTGTTGCTGTTTGGGGTTTCAGCCCCGTTGCTGTCCCCAGCTGTCCCCAGACCCTTCCCCAAACCCCCTGACCCACCCCTGACCCTTTGTCTCAACCCCGCCCCCTTTGCCCAAACATTGCCCATCGGCCCCCAACACTCCCACGGGGTCTGTCTCCAAACTAAACTCTCGGCCCCAAATCTCACCCTGGTCCCCCAAAAGTGCCCAAAAGGCTGAGATTTTGGGTGAAATTTGACAAATTCTGTCACCAGCTCAGATGGGTTTGCGGCAACACCAGACGGGGTTTGGCATCTTTGGTCACCATGGTTGTAAATGGGGCAGATCTGGGACAAAAGGGCAAGACCTGAGGCTGGGGTGTGGGGGAAGGGTCTGGGACTTTGGGGAGAGGTGGGGGCACTGAGATGGCGATCGATCCACCAATGATGCATTTACAAATAGCAGGAGGGCCCCAATTATCAGCATAAGCACGCTTGGCACAGAAATAGGATCCAGAATCCTCGTCCTTGAGGTTGTTCATGGTCAGCGTCACCAAGCTCTGCCCGTTGTCCCTAGAGATCCTGAACCGGCCCTGGACTGAATCCGCGTACCCGGTGCTCGAACCAAGGTTCCTGCTCCCAGCGAGCCACTCCAGCCCCTGCCCGGGTCTCTGGCGGAACCAGTGCATGGCAAAAAGGCTAAAACTTAACCCGGACCCTCGGCAGAAGAGGCGCAGGGATCCCCCAGGGGCTGGAGGTCCCTCCCGCACTCCAGCAGGGTCGCGGCCATTCCCACATGCCCAAACCTTCACCGCTTTTGCCCCAAAATCCATTTGTGTGGCTTTAAATATCTAACAGAGGTTTCCTGTATGGAGAAGTGCCTTCAACACTGCAATTAGCCCCAATCCCCGCATTAATTAATTGGGCAGTTCTGCCTGAGTTTTGCATCGCCTCATCCCAATTTCCCCTTTGTCCCACAGGTCTCCGGGCAGCCGTGACCCTGCTGGAGTGCGGGAGGGATCTCCAGCTGCGGGGGGGTCCATGACTTTGCTGTGCCGCGCCTCTGGGTTCAATTTTGAGAGTTTTGGAAAGTTCTGGGTGCGCCAGAGACCCGGGCAGGCGCTGGAATTCGTTGCTGGAATCAATGCTGATGGTGTCAACACCTTCTACGCACCGTCGGTCAAGGGCCGGTTCAGGATCTCCAGGGACAACGGGCAGTGCTCGGTGACGCTGACCATGAACAACCTCAAGGACGAGGATTCCGGATCCAATTTCTGTGCCAAGTGTATTTCTGGTGGCAATGCTGATATTGCCAGTGCTTTTGGCCATGTCCACATCACCATGTCCTCCGCTGTCCCCAGACCTCTCCCCTGTGGTCACACATGGCCAGCGTCACCGAGCTCAGCCCGCTGTCCCTGGCTGTGCTGACCCGGCCCTTGACCGATGGAACGTTCCAGGTGACTCCACCCTTGCACCCATCTGCTTCTCTCAGCAAGGAGCCCTTGCCTCGAAATCAATTTCAACAATTTCATCTCTCCAAAATTTCAGGCGCATTTGGGAAAAAAAAGGGTTTTTTCTCCAGAGCTCCCAGAGAGGATTCCAGCCCAGCCCCAAGGAGCAGCCCCAGATGCCGAGGCCGCTGAGGGAGAAGTGAAGCCCCAGGTGGGAGCGAGGGAGTCAGGGAGGGAGGAGCAGACACCGAGATTTTTGGGCTCCGCAGCCTCCCCCCACTTCCTCCCCGGCAGCTGCTGGGGCCCAGCCGGGGCAGGAAAGGAAACAGAAATTTCCTGGTTTTGGTAATGATGAACATCTGTGTTTGGCAGAGAGCAGCTCAACCTCGGGGCGCTGCAGCAGAGCGCCGGCTGCACAAAAATCTTTGTGTGCAAAGGGCCCTGGAGCGATACCCGTTCCACACTGGGACGGAGGGGAAGGGCCAGACTGGGGAGAAATGGGCAAAATTTGGGGAAATCTGAAATTGGGAAAGTGATTGTGGAGTTTGGGGGAAAATGGCTGAGATGTGAGAAAAAGAGCCGGGATTTTGGGGAAGGATATGAGAATGCTGTGATTTGTGGGAACACAGAAGAAAGGGCTTGAGGCCACAACCAGCATCAAAACCATTGGAATAAGCAGCATTACCACAGCCAGTGCTGTAACATTTTGTAAAGAAATAGGATCCGGTATCAGCGTCCTTGGGGTTGTTCATGGTCAGCGTCACCGAGCTCTGCCCGTTGTCCCTGGAGATCATGAACCGAGTCTGCGCCGATGGCGCGTACCATGTGCTGCCACTGTTGCTGATAGCTGCAATGTATTCCAGTGTCTGCCCGGGTCTCTGGGGCACCAGAGGCACCAGACAGCTCCTCCCAAAACTGCAAAAACTGAACCCAGACCCTTGGTAGAGGAGGCGCAGGGACCACCCGGGGGGCTGGAGGTCCCCCCCGCACTCCAGCAAGGTCATGGCCGCCCGGAGCCCTGCGGGACAAAGGGGAGATGGGGATGAGGCGAAAGCTCAACCCTTGACCCAAATCCTGACTCTTGGCCCAAAATTGGGTTCCTTGGAGTTCATCATCCTCCCCCCAGGAGAATTCTACCCCTTTGTCCAGCTGGCCACACCCACTTGGAGGTCCTTGACCAATCAGACTTTTGATTTCCATCATCTCCCCTTTTTCCCGCAGGGCTCCGGGCGGCCATGACCCTGCTGGAGTGCGGGGGGGACCTCCAGCCCCCCAGGGGGTCCCTGCGCCTCCGCTGCCGAGGGTCCGGGTTCACTTTCGGGAGCTACGAAATGTTCTGGATGCGCCAGAGACCCGGGGAGGGGCTGGAGTGGCTCGCGTGGATCAGGAACGATGGTGGCAACTCCGGCTACGCGGATTCAGTCAAGGGCCGGGTCACGATCTCTAGGGACAACGGGCAGAGCTCGGTGACGCTGACCATGAACAACCTCAAGGACGAGGATTCCGGATCCTATTTCTGCGCCAAATGTTACAGCAGTGGTTGTGGTCCTAATATTGATGCTGGTTATGATGACGATGCCAGTGGTGGCCCCTCCTCGATGCTGTGCCCTCAAACATCCCAAAACCCCACATTCTACCCCCAAATCTTTAGTATTGGCCACAAATCTTGACCGTTTTTCCCAATCTCCTCAATCATTGTCTCACCCCACACATTTCCATGGGGCTTTCAGAATTTGAAATAATTCTCAAAGGTTCATCCCCAAAACTCTGCCCTGTGTGCCCCAGATCTCAGCGGGGTTCACTTGTGACCATTGGCTCCAAACTCAGCTGGCTCTACCCCAAATCTCGACTCTTGGCGCCACACCTCAGCTCTTGGCTCCAAGGCTCAACCAAGGCTCTCAACCCTCGGTGCAAATGGTCAAGATTTAGGAAAAATGGTCCAGATTTGGGTCTGTGGGGGTCAACAATGGAGTCAAGGGCAGGAGGGAAGGACCTGGTGAACGGGGATGTAGACAGGACCAAAATTAGAACCAGCAGCATGTGCCTCCCAACCCCAACCCTCATAGGCATTTTTGGCACAGCAATAGGATCGGGAATCCTCGTCCTTGAGGTTGTTCATGGTCAGCGTCACCGAGCTCTGCCCATTGTCCCTGGAGATCGTGACTTGGCCCTTGACCGACGGCACTTCTCTGGGGGTGGAATCATCACCGTTGATCCCCGTGACGTATTCCAGCCCCTTCCCGCGTCTCTGGCGCATCCAGAACATTGCAGATTTTTTGAAATTGAAGCCAGAGGCACGGCACAACAAGTTCAGGGACCCCCCGGGTGTCTGGAGGCTCCCCCCACATGCCAGCAGGGTCACGGCCGCCCGGAGCCCTGTGGGACAGAAGGGAGATGGGGATGAGGAACCTGATTGGCTGTGGGCATGAATGGGTGGCAGTGTAAGCTGGATAAAGGGACGGGACCCACTTGGGAGGAGGATGATGAACGCCAAGGGTCCCAATTTGGGGCCCAGAATCAGGATTTGGGTCAGGGGTTGAGCTTTGGCCTCATCCCAATCTCTTCTTTGTCCCACAGGGCTCCGGGCAGCCGTGACCCTGCTGGAATGCGGCGGGGGACCTCCAGCCCCTTGGTGGGTCCCTGCGCCTCCTGTGCTAAGGGTCTGGGTTAAGTTTTGGTGGTTATACCATGCACTGGATCCGCCAGAGACCCGGGCATGGGCTGGAATGGCTCGCCAGAATCAGCAGCAGTGCTGTTTCCTACACCGACTACGCGCCGTCAGTCAAGGGCCGGTTGAGGATGTCCAGGGACAACGGGCAGAGCTCGGTGACGGTGACCATGAACAACCTCAAGGACGAGGATTCTGGATCCTATTTCTGTGCAAAAGCGAGTGGTGCGGGTAACCCTGCTGCTGCTTATATTGACCGTGTCAGTGGTGGCACCACCCCTGTCTGAGCCACCGGTCCGCAATCCCAGACTGTTCCCCCCCAAACCTCAGCCCTTGTCCCTTTGTCCCAAATCTCCCCCATTTGCCCCAATGGTCAGCACTTACTGTGGAGTATTTTATTAAGAATTGGTTGGCTGAGGAAGGCCATACTGACTTAATGCCACTGGTTAAGCTTGAAAGGGAGGTCAGCAGTCTCTGATTCAGTGACTGCTGACAGGCAAGAATGCCGGATGGCCTTGCTGCAACATGAGGAAAGGGAGGTGAGATTAGTCCTGAATATCTGCAGAATGTAACAGAAGAATAAGCACAAGAATGTAGAAGTAGGTGTAGTTGCTGATATGTAACTAACCAATCCTGAGCTCAACTTTTGCAATATGTATGAAGCTTATTAAGAACTGTATTTAACCCGCCGTATTTGATCAATAAATCGGACTTGGATGAACCAACTGGTGTCTGGGTCTCCTTCCTCCGACAAATGGTGGAGAATGCGGGCAAAGGCACTCTGAACGTTCCCTCTCTTGGATTATAAATTCACCATGGTTGAGGAGGTTGGGTGAGAGTCCTTGCAGCCGGGACGGTGCCGGATTTTAAAAGCACCCTTGAGGATCACAACGGTGACTCAAGTCTGTACGTGTCACCGGGAGCCTGGAAGGCTGCAACAGCGTGCGCTGATATATAGGTATGGATAGGCAAGCGACATACGACCTCTTCTCCTCATATTTAGAAAGGCGAGGAGTAAAAGGGGTAGATTTAAAAAAGGAGTTACCAGGGTTATTAGCTTATGGTTATTCTAAAGGAATTTTTGCTAATCCACATACAGTTCATGAGATAGCAGAGTGGAAAAAGTTTGGGGATATCCTGTGGGATGCAGTGTTAGATGATGATAAGTCAGCAAAGAAATTTGGCAAGTTATGGCGGGTGGTGTATAATACGTTGCTTTAGCAGATTTCTGAGAGAAAGGCAGCAGAAAGGGCAACAGAAGCTCATAAGAGGAATAGAGGGTATGGTCGTGAGGATGATCCCCTGGCACCTTCTGTAACTCAGATACTTATGCCTAAGAGTCCCCAGCAGAGTGGTGTGCTGGATTTTCCTACAGATAGTGTGGAACCGTCTGCACCTTTACTGTTGGGGGAGGAGGACGGGTTGGATGGTGGAGGTAAGAGCTCGCCTCCGCCGCCAGCTTCAGGCAGGTTGGATGGTGGGGGTGGGAGCAAGCCAGCTTCACCTCCGTCTCCAGCTTTGCCTCCGCCGCTTCCCCTGCATGAGGCGGCTTCGGTGGGGGGGTCGCTTCCCCCGCGCAAGCCAGCTCCGGCTTCACCCTCGGCTTCGGTGGGGGGGGGGGGCCGCTTCCCCCGCGTGAGCCCACTCCGGTTTCACCGGCTTTGCCTCCGCCGCTTCCCCAGAATAAGTCAGCCCCGGCGGGGGAGGGGCCGATTCCCCCGCCGGAAACCTCGGTCTCTGTACTGAAGTGCCAGCAGCATAGCACCCTTAAAAAGTCAGATCCTATCCCAGGGGCACACAGTGACCTATGGGGGGAGATGGCTAAGCAGAGAAGGGAAGCTTGGGCTGCTGTGGCAAAAGAAGTAATGCAAATGGGGGATGGCAAGGCGATGGAAGTAGTCTCTAATCTTGCATGTCCGTTTACATATACACCACAATATGATGCACAGGGGAACCTTACGCATAATATAGCAGCCTATGAGCCTTTAGACTTGAAGTTGTTAGCTCAGTTACGTTCTACGGTTAGTCAGTTTGGAGTAAAAAGTGAACCTGTTAGGCAAATGTTAGATTACCTTTTTAATACTCAGATTTTATGTCCAAATGATTTAAGAGGAATAGTTAGGTTGATATTTACTCAGCATCAGCAGTTACTGTTTAATGCACACTGGCAAGCTATGGTTAATGAGTCGGTTGCTGTGCAGCGAGCTCAAGGAGATCCATTACATGGAGTGACAGTAGATGAGCTTATGGGCTTAGGGGCATATTTGCGTATAGAGGCACAGATGATATCAGGAGCAGATAAGCTTAGAGAGTCTATGCGGTTAGGGCGTGCTGCAATAGATATGGTTAAAGAACCAGGAGGGTTACCAGCTTATATGGGCATTAAACAAGGTAGAGAAGAATCATTTGGGAATTTTATAGATAGGGCAGCTACTGCCATAGATCGGGCTGGTGTTGCAGACTACATGAACGGGGCGCTATTGAAGCAGTGAGCTCTTCAAAATAGCAATCCAGCAACACAAAGAGTGTTAGCTACTTTAGGGACAAATTGGACCATTGAGGAGGCATTAGAGCGAATGGCATTAATGCCAACAGCTTCACAGGCATTTATAATAGATGCGCTAAAGGAGCTAGGGTTAGGATTACAAAAGCAAGCAGAGTCTACTCAGAGTCAAGCGTTAGCTGCTCTTGCTCCTCTCCAAAGTGGCTCACCGGCAGTCACGCAGAGCTCGAGACCATTCCTCAAGTGCTACAGATGTGGCAGTGAGGGTCATACGCGACGAACATGCCGAGCATCCAGGGTATGGTGTCACAACTGCCGCTCCAGTTCCCACAACTCTGCAGCTTGTAGGCGCCGGTCGGGAAACTATCCCAGGAGCGCGCAGCAGGCGAGCCGCGCCCAGACACAAGTAGCTGCCGTGACATCGGAGACACCAGCTGCTGACGCAACATCGCTGCCACCCCCTGTCTGCAACCAGCAACAGCAGGGAGCCTCGGCTTGGACTTATCAGCAGCAGTAGACGTCACATTAATGACGAATCGGCCTGAGAGGATACAAACTGGAGTAAAGGGTCCTCTCATTTTGAATGAACAAAAATGTGGAGCATTGTTATTAGGACGTTCTTCAATAACTATGCTGGGATTATTTGTATTGCCTGGTGTTATCGATGCGGATTATACAGGGGAAATACAAATTATGGTTTACACCCTTTATCCTCCTATTAAAATAACAAAAGGACAACGCATTGCACAATTAATACCACTATCACAAATGACATCTGGTATACCATCATTTACTGGACAAACGCGGGATGAAAAAGGTTTTGGCTCTACTGGTGTTACACTTTTGACTGTGGATTTACAAAATAGACCAAAACAAAAGGTGGAAATTACCCATGGACATCAAAGCATAACCCTTTATGGATTATTGGATACAGGAGCAGATACCAGCATTATTTCTCCAGAAGCATGGCCACAACATTGGCCTCTATTCCCATCATCAAATATGCTCACCGGAGTAGGGGGATTTACATTAGCAAGTAGATCACCAATTTTGCTAGTGTGTATTGATGATCAACAAGTATCTGCTGTGTTTTCCGTTGTTCAATTACCACCTACAGTTTCTTGTTTAATTGGAAGGGACATTTTAACACAATTGGGAGTGGTGTTAACTAATCATCACCCTTTGGGGTAATTGCCATTGCTTGGACTTTCCCCATTCCACTCACCTGGAAAACGGATACACCGGTGATGGTTAAGCAATGGCCATTAAAAGGGGAAAGCCTTATGCACGCTCATGAATTAGTAAAGGAACAATATACAAAGGGACATCTACGACTTTCCACGAGCCCTTGGAATACACCTATTTTTGTAATTAAGAAGAAATCAGGGAAATATCGTTTGTTACATGATTTACGAGCTGTAAACGAACAAAGGGAACCAATGGGAGCCTTACAGCCTGGTCTTCCAAATCCAGCTATGATCCCAGAACATTGGCCGCTTTTAATTATTGATCTAAAGGATTGTTTTTTCACTATTGGGCTGCATCCTGATGATATGAAGAGATTTGCTTTTACTTTACCGGCAATAAATCGTGGAGAGCCAGATAAAAGATTTGAATGGACGACTCTTCCGCAAGGGATGCGGAATTCCCCGATGTTGTGTCAGCTTTATGTTGATGCTGCATTACAGCCACTACGTCGTAAGTGGCCAGCAACTATAATATATCATTACATGGATGACATTTTGTTTGCACAGCAACAACCATTCTCCTCTCTGCAGATTGACAGTATTAGAGATACTCTTTCAGCATATTCGCTTGTTATTGCTGCAGAGAAAATTCAGACCACCACACCATGGAAATATCTGGGATGGACCTTAACGGATCAAAAAGTAATACCTCAAAAATTGGAATTACAATTGGACATTAAAACTTTGCATGATGCACAAAAATTACTGGGAGACTTGCAGTGGTTAAAGCCCATTGTGGGAATACCAAATCATTTGTTAGAAACCCTACGGCCTTTGTTAAAGGGTATTGACCCTACTACTCCTGTACATCTGACAAAGGAACACCATCTTACTTTGCAGCAAATAAGTAACTGTGTACAACAAGGGTATGTGTCTCGTCAACAGCTCGACTGCCCTATTGATCTTACTATTTGGAATAGTCCTTGCCATTTGCTTGGTGCTCTCTCTCAACAACAGAAGAAAACGGGGGAGATACGAGTTTTGGAATGGTTATCACCATCACTACAACATAAGAGAACAATATTTTCAAAAATTGAACAATTGGCTGCATTAATCAAAAAAGGGCGTCTCAGAATTACTGAAGTGGATGGTCGAGAACCTGCTACCATTAGATTGCCTATGGAAAAAGAAACCTTAGACTGGTACTTAATTAATTCAAAGGACTTACAGGAAGCATTATTGACATCGTCTGCTAAGGTAGAGACTAGTAAATTAGTACCTAAAGTTTTGCAATGGATGACAGAATGGAACTGGATTACTCGACCATTGAGAGAAGAACGCCCTATAGAAGGAGCTATTACAGCTTTTACAGATGCGGGAAAGAAATCAAGGCGTGCTGCTGTCACCTGGCAAGAAAAAGGACAATGGAAGCATCAACTTCTCACAGCAGACCCTGCAGATAGCTTACAAACCTTGGAATTGTTAGCAGTAGTATGGGCAATGTCTAACTTACAGGAGCCTTTAAATGTGGTCACAGACTCTATGTATGTTGCAGGAGTAGTCAGACGAATAGAGGAAGCAGCAATTAAGGAAGTGAATAATAAACGATTGTACGAGTTACTGATACAATTGAGGAAAGCTTTACGGGAGCGAAATGCAGCGTATTCTGTGATTCATATTAGGAGTCATAAATGGTCTGAAGGTTTAGGAGAAGGGAACGAACGTGCAGACAAATTGGTTACTTTACCCATTGATAACTCTTGTCTTATTGATAAGCATACATTGGCCAGAGAAGCACATAGTAGATATCATCAAAATGCAAGAGGATTGGCAAGAAACTTTGAGCTAAGTTTGTCAGAAGCTAAGGCCATTATTAGAGCTTGTCCAACATGTAGTTATCATAATGGGGGAATAGGTTTAGGTATTGGAGTTAATCCTCGAGGTTTAGCAATAAATGAGAAATGGCAAATGGATGTTACACAGGTACCTAGATTTGGCAAAGTTAAGTACGTGCATGTCACTATAGATACATATAGTCACTACATATGGGCTACGGCTCAGGCAGGACAGAAAGCTATACATGTCATTAGGCACCTGTTAAGTTGCTTTGCTGTCATGGGAGTCCCAAAGAGTATTAAAACGGATAATGGTCGAGATTATGTGTGTGCTAGGGTCCAGAAATTCTTAAATCGGTGGTCCATTAAACATGTGACAGGTATTCCACACTCTTCTACTGGACAGGCAATAGTAGAAAGAGCAAACGGCACCCTTAAACGGTATATTGAGAAGCATCAAGATTAAACAGACCCACAATCATGTTTGGCTAAGGTTCTGTATGTGATCAATCATTTATGTATTTTTGGGGAAGACGATATCCCTCCTGCAATTAAACATCATCCTAAGTCAGGTCAGAAAATTACTAAGGAAACTGAGGTCTGGGTTAAGTATAAGAATCCGAGTACAGGATTATGGGAAAAACCTGCAAAAGTGTTATATTGGGGTAGGGGATATCTTTGTGTTTCCTCACCTACAGGGCCTTTGTGGGTGCCTGCTAAGTGGACTAAACCTGTTTTTGATGTAGCCTCTAGTGGATCGCCTCACGGAGGAGGACAGTGAGCGACTGAGGGAGAAACTGCCTCTAGTCCTACGTCCGCTGCTGCTACAGCTGAAGGGACACTCGAAAGTGTTGGACAGAGCACTGACATGTCACTATCGGACGGCCCAGGAGTTGATTGGTTTTATTGATTCATTATCAACTTTTCGTTTAATAAATCCAGCAAAGGAACATTGCCTTGACTGTCACGATCCACATTGTGCTGCCTGGATAGCCCTACGTTGTGGGGGTTGTGATAATACTTTTTGGATAGAACAATCATTATTACGGGATTTATGATGTCACACTTGTGAGCACGAGCACACGTGGGGTAAAAACTGGGAAGATGAATTAAGGAGACAGACGGGTCTAAATGCATATGAAGCTTTAAATCTTTATGAGTCTCCTGAACAAAAAATTCTTGCTTATTATCGTTGGGAAGTACAATGTGTTGTAAATAGAATTAAGGTTCAGGGTAAATCACGTATAGTCTCTGTAAGGTGTAGGAAATTAGTTCCTTTAACACAACGTTCTATTGTAGGACCCTTCAGGGGGAATCCTGAAAGAGCATTAGATCATTGCATTGAAAAGTTTCAAAAATTAAGTTTGCAAGTGACAGGACCAGTGAAATTAGGAGCAGCAGAACTGAAAACTGATAAGAAAAATAAGGCTAGGAAGGGAGCAACCTCTTCTAAATAAGGCTAATTAGTTTTCTATGATTAGGACAATTTTACAGTTGTGCGACCCTCGGGAGGATATAGTTATTGAAGAAGATAACGAGCAGGAACAACGATTACGAAATAAGATACACCTTGTGTTAAAGAAAGAGATTGAACTATTAGCTTTATATAGTAAGAAAGGTGAAGAGGCTTTGCAATCACCACCATTAAACTGGTTGCATTGGGTCGAAGAGACAGACTTTTATACTGGTCCTTACTTACATTCACTTCCTTGTTATGTTTGTAAAAGGGATGTTGATAAGTGCTATGCATGGATAGCTTTGCATTGTGCAGGTTGTAATAAGGTTTATTGGTACTCACAAAGATCAATAGGGAATTTATGGAGTGGACCTTGTTTCGGGAAGTGGATTCAAGATTTTGTCTGGGTTAGAGCTCTTGAACAAAGTACTGGCCTGCCAGGAAGGGCAGGTGTGAAGGTCCGCCTGAAATGAACGGGTGACGAATGATTTTTGGGTGCAAAAATAATCAACAAAGGCACAGGGGTTTTGCAGTAACAAATCAACAAGGTGCAATTTTATTGATTATAACCACAGCTAAATATGCATTAGGTTAAGGGATCCGGGGAAGAGAAGGGTAAGACAAGGAAAAAAGGGAGGAAAGAAGGTCAGGGAATGGCTACCAAAACGTGAGGTCTTCGGGGTCCCGCCACTGAAACTCGCTGGTACACGTCTTGGGGAGTACTCAAAGGACAGTGGGACCGAACCCCAATATATATACTGTTCTTGGTTGGGGGAAGGGTAGCTGAAATTAGGTTTCTATGGAGGGGAGAAGTCCATTGTTTTCATGGCCGAATGCTCACAGGTACGTTAGGTTTTTCCCCCTCCCTGAGTTGGGAGGGGGTACAGTCCCAGTCTCTGGAAGGAGGTTGCCATGGGGGTGCCATGGGGGTGCCATGGGGGTGCCAATAGGGTGCCAAAGGGGTTCTTGGTTCCTTTGATGAGGGGATTCGCATCTCTGTTGGTCCGTCATGGTGGTTGAAGACAGGCAAGAGGGGTCTTCTCATGGAGCAGGGGGGAGCCACCCCAGAGCTCAGTCCAGCCAGATCAGGAGTTTGGAAGAAAGTCCAGTTCAATTGTCCAGAAAAGGGCAGCATGCCCCCTTCGAGTACAGCATGGCGTGTTCTGCAAACATCACTTGTGAGCACACTAGATAAGCAGGAAGAAAAAACAGGCAAAAAAGAAAGAAAAATGAAGTTTGTTTTTATTATACTGCTTAAATGCTGTAGCAATTAAAGCAGTAGGAATAACACATTTCGGTCAGCCAAGAGAAAATCTATGGGTAAAACTTGCAAACCAAATTAACCAATCATCACTTTGTCTTAATCTTGGAGGGGTTACTAATCCATTTCGAACATGCCTGGTAGGACTTCCAGTGTGGTCTCCTAGAGAATTTTGCAGTTTAATAAGTAATCGAACTTTATGCATGCGTAACATGTCAAACATCACATTGCCAGCACAGCAAGGATATACTGCAGGTCAGAGTGATGGCTATCGCCAATGCTTACTAATCCAATCACTTAACCCTTCTTTGCATTCTCCTCCTGAAGAATTGGATCTTTTTGGAAGTGCAAATGCCAGTATATCTAATGCTACAACCGGCGGATGGTTTAGTTTCAAACCCTTAGATGCCCAGAATTTAAATCAACCTAAAGACACATGGGCCACCTTAGATTCATCCCTGAATTTGAGTGAATTCTCTCCACAGCATTACAGTCAATGTAACGGCACAAACATCACGGCACCAATGAAATTACCTACAGGAATATTTCTAATTTGTGGAGACAGGGCGTGGAATGGTGTACCAGCTAAGCCACAGGGTGGACCCTGTTATTTGGGAAAATTGTCCTTGTTTCACCCTAATGTATCCTTGCTAATGCAGCTCAGTCAAACATCAAACAGGAAAAAATGTAGTATACATGACTTGGACTGCAGCCAGATAGGAGATCCAAAGTTTTGGGGTACATTCAGGCAAGTAGTAGTCTCAACTATTTTACCAGGAGGATCTGCCAATAAGGCTATGAATTTAGCAAAACAATTAGGGTGCTGGGCAAGAGATGAGCTGAACAAAACATCCCAAATTCTGGGACATGATGACTGCAGATGTGCAGAGTGTTAACCATGCTGTTTTACAAAATAGAGCTGCTGTAGACTTTTTGCTCTTAGCACAAGGGCATGGATGTGAAGAATTTGAGGGAATGTGTTGTATGAATTTGTCTGATCATTCGGTGTCCATTCATACTAAGATAAAAGAATTACAACAGGGACCTCACAATCTCAAAGAAGAAGAAGGTTTAGGAATTGACGAATGGCTTAAAGGCTTAGGGCTTGGACCATGGCTAAGGAACATTGTGACATATGCTATCGGCTTACTGGGTGTGATCTTAATATTTTTGCTTATTTTGCCTTGTATTTTTACTTGTATTCAAAACATGGTTAGCCGTATGATAGCAAAAACCTGGCAAACTAATCTCCTTGCTCAAGAAGAAAATGGGGGAAATGTGGAGGATTTTATTAAGAATTGGTTAGCTGAGAAAGGCCATACTGACTTAATGCCGCTGGTTAAGCTTGAAAGGGAGGTCAGCAGTCTCTGATTCAGTGACTGCTGACAGGCAAGAATGCCGGATGACCTTGCTGCAACATGAGGAAAGGGAGGTGAGATTAGTCCTGAATATCTGCAGAATGTAACAGAAGAATAAGCACAAGAATGTAGAAGTAGGTGTAGTTGCTGATATGTAACTAACCAATCCTGAGCTCAACTTTTGCAATATGTATGAAGCTTATTAAGAACTGTATTTAACCCGCCGTATTTGATCAATAAATTGGACTTGGATGAACCAACTGGCGTCTGGGTCTCCTTCCTCCGACAACTTACCCCAAACCCTCCCCTGCTCCTGCCCCAAATCTCAACCATTGGCCCCAAACCTTCAAGCCTGGGATCCAGGTCAGGCCTTGCTCTCCAAGAATTCCCATTTCTGCCTGTGCCAGCTCAGCCAATGGTGAGATGGCAAAGATTTGGGTGAAATGGGCAAAATTGGGGGAAAGTCGAGAGTTGGGGCAGCAGGGGCAGAGTTTGGGGGGAAATGGCTGAGATTTGAGGAACAGGACTGGGATTTTGGGGAAGGACCACTGGGGAATGCAGACATTTGGTGACCATCATGGGGGGTGCCACTGCAGGAACTGTCGCCAAAACCATCAGCAGTGTTACCAGCACCACCATCGAAACATCTGGCGCAGAAATAAACAGCGGAATCCTCGTCCTTGAGGTTGTTCATGGTTAGCGTCACCGAGCTCTGCCCGTTGTCCCTGGAGATCGTGAACCGGCCCCCGAACGATGGCGCGTAGTTGGTGCCTCCACCAGTGCTGCGGATACTGGCGATGTATTACAGCCCCTGCCCGGGTCTCTGTCAATACCAGCCCATCCGAAAACTGCCGAAACTGAACCCGGACCCTCTGCAGAGGAGACGCAGGGACCCCCTGGGGGGCTGGAGGTCCCCCCGCACTCCAGCAGGGTCACGGCCGCCCGGAGCCCTGCGGGACAAGAGGGGAGATGGGGATGGGAAACCTGATTGAGCAAGCAGGGGAGAAGGGGCATGGCTTGTGGAAAAAAGGTGTGGGGCCAACATGGGAGGGGCAGCAGGAGCAGCAGGGCCAAGAGCCGGACTGAACTAGAGGCCGTGGCAGGGATGTGCCCAGGTTGGGGTCCCAGGGGGGTTTTGGGGGTCGTTAACAGTGTATTAACCGTGTAATCAATGCAGTATGCTCAGGATGAGGTGTCTAATTAATTAAAGAATTGATTGGGGTTTATTGCCGGTTTTGAGGCATGTTGAGATATGGAAAACTCTGGTGGGGTTTTGGGGCTAAACAAGGGGAGTAATGAGAGAAATTGGTGAAGGTTTGGGGATGGGCTCCGGGCGGCCATGACCCTGCTGGAGAGCAGGGGGGGGCCTCCAGCCCGCCGGTGGGTCCCTGCGCCTCCTCTGCTGAGGGTCCGGGTTCAGTTACAGACATTTTGGGATGGGCTGGTATGGACAGAGACCTGGGCACGGCTGGAATGGATCGCAGTGATCTGGAGCAGTGGTGCCACCTACAACGCACCATCTGTCAAGGGCCGGGTCACGATCTCCAGGGACAACGGGCAGAACTTGGTGACACTGACCATGAACAACCTCAAGGACGAGGATTCCGGATCCTATTTCTGTGCCAAGGATGCTGATGGTTATGGTGCTGCTCCTAATGCTGCTTGGGAATGGGGTGACCTTCACCGTCAGTATAACCAGCACCATAAATATAGTAACCAGGAGCAGATGTGGTGCAGAAATAGGATCCAGAATCCTCGTCCTTTAGGTTGGTCATGGTCAGGGACATGGAGGTCTGCCCGTCGTCCCTGGAGATCGTGAACCGGCCCTGCACCGACGGCGTCCCGTAGAAGGTGTAACCCCCACTGCCGTAGTAGATGCTGGCGATGAATTCCAGCCCCTGCCCGGGTCTCTGCCAGATCCAGAAAAGGTCAAATTTGTCAAAATCGAACCCAGACCCCAGGCAGAGGAGGAACAGGGACCCCCTGGGGGGCTGGAGGTCCCCCCCGCACTCCAGCAGGGTCACGGCCGCCCAGAGCCCTGCGGCACAAAGGGGAGATGGGGATGAGAAACCTGATTGGAGCAGAAGCTTAATAATGAGCGTGGCCAGCTGGAAAAAGGGGCAGGACCCACCTGGGAGGAGGATGATGAACGCCAAGGGTCCCAATTTGGGGCCCAGAGTCAGGATTTGGGTCAATGTTGAGCTTTGGCCTCATCCCCATCTCCCCTTTGTCCCGCAGGCCTACGGGCGGCCGTGACCCATCTGGAGTGCGGGGGGGACCTCCAGCCCCCCGGGGGGTCCCTGCGCCTTCCCTGCCGAGGGTCCGGGTGCAGTTTCGGGAGTTGTGCCATGCAATGGGTCCGACAGAGACCCCGGCATGGGCTGGAATTCGTCGCCTACATCAGGAGTGATGGTTCCGGCACCTGGTACGCGCCATCGGTGCAGGGCCGGGTTATGATCTCCAGGGACAACGGGTAGAGCTCGGTGACACTGACCATGAACAACGTGCAGGACGAGGATTCCGGATCCTATTTCTGCCCCAAATGTTCCGGCAGTAGTTTTGATTATGATGCTGCTGCTTTTGGTGATCATGGTGTTGGTGGTTGTGGCCCCAAGCCCTCTCCTCTCTGTGCCCACGTATCAGAGAATTCTCTGACCCCTCCCCAAATCCCAGCCCTTTTCCCCAAATCTCCGTCATTTTCACCTAAATTCTGCCATTGCTGCCCCAACTCTGCATTTCCCCTCAGTTTTTATCATTTTTCCCCAATCTCAGCCTTCTCCTCCTCACCCTCGGACAGTTTGCCCAGAACCATGCCCTAGTCCAACACCAAGCACTGAGCCAAAACCCCCAAATTGGTTCTGCCCCAAGCCCTCCTGCTTTGACCCCAAAACTCACCCGATTCTGCCCCAAATCCCCACTTTGGGCTCCCAGCAGCCACTGACCCAAACCTCACCCACTGTCCCCAAATCTCAACCCTTGGGGAACTTTTGGGGGTCCAGGGGGAGATTTGGGGCCGAGAGTTTAATTTGGGGCCAGATCCAGGGCAGGGTTGGGGGCCAATGGGCAGTGTGTGGGCAAAGGGGGCGGGGTTGGGGCAAAGGGTCAGGGGTGGGACAGGGGGTTTGGAGAAGGGTCTGGGGACAGCTGGGGACAGGGACGGGGACAGGACCCCAAACACCAACCCAACCACCGGGAGTGAAACCAATGGCATGGGCGGCATTCCAGCCACCATAGGAATCCTTTGCACAGAAATAGGATCCAGAATCCTCGTCCTTGAGGTTGTTCATGGCCAGCGTCACCGAGCTCTGCCCATTGTCCCTGGAGATTGTGAACCGGCCCTTGACTGAATCTCCATAGTGTGTGGAGCCAACAGTGTTGATCTGTGCTACGAACTCCAAACCCTGTCCAGGTCTCTGTCGACACCAGCCCATCCCAAAACTGCCAAAACTGAACTCGGCTCCTCGGCAGAGGAGGCACAGGGACCCCCCGGGGGGCTGGAGGTCCCCCCCGCACTCCAGCAGGGTCACGGCTGACCGGAGCCCTGCGGGACAAAGGGGAGATGATAGAAATCAAAACTCTGATATGTCAAGGGCCTCCAAGTGGGTGTGGCCAGCTTGACAAAGGAGTAGAATCCTCCTGGGAAGAGGATTCAAAAGAACTCTAAAGATCCCAGTTTGGGGCCCAGAGTCAGAATTTGGGTCAAGGGTTGAGCTTTGGCCTCATCCCCATCTCCCCTTTGTCCCGCAGGGCTCCAGGCGGCCGTGACCCTGCTGGAGTGTTGGGGAGACCTCCAGCCCCCCGGGGGATCCCTGCGCCTCCTCTGCCGAGGGTCCAGGTTCAGTTTTGGCAGTTTTGCCATGAACTGGGTCCGACAGAGACCCGGATAGGGGCTGGAATTCGTCGCCTACATCAGGAGTGATGTTTCCAACATTTACTAGGCGCCATCGGTCAAGGGTCGGTTCACGATCTCCAGACACAACAGGCAGAGCTCGGTGATGCTGACCATGAACAACCTCAAGGACGAGGATTCCGGATCCTATTTCTGCGGGAAATTTGCCTATAATACTTGGGGTGCTGCTTCTGATGGTATTAACCCCATCCCCGTGGCTGTGTCCCCACCTGTCCCAGTTCCCCAGACCCTTCTCCCAAACTCTGGCCCTGACCCCATTCCTGACCCCATCTCCCTACCCTGCCTTGGCTCTGCCCCGAATTCTCCACTCTCGACCACAAAATTGACCTAAATCTTTACCCTTGACCAGAAGTATCCACTTTCAGAATCAAGTTTTGGGGCACAAAGTGGAGATTTGGGGTCAGGAGTTGTGGTTTGGGGTCAGCGGGTGAGAATTGGGGCCGAGGCAGAGCAAGGTTGGGATCATTGGTCAAGGGCTGGGTGTGGGCTGGGGTTTTGGGGGAAGGGTCTGGGAAACGGGGACAGGGGGCGGACATGGGCGTGGGGGGCACGGTCAAAACCATACACAGCACCAGCAGGATCATACCAAACATTAACAGATTTGGCAAAGAAATAGGTGGCAGAATCCTCGTCATTGAGGTTCTTCATGATCAGCGTCACCAAGCTCTGCCTGTTGTCCCTGGAGATCCTGAACTGGCCCTTGACTGAGGGTGCATAGCCGGTGCTGGAACCATCGTTCTTTATCCCCCTGAGCCACTCCGTCACCTGCCCGGGTTTCTGGTGCACCCACTGCATCCCAAAATTCAAAAAATCGAACCCGGACCCTAGGCAGAGGAGGCGCAGGGACCTCCCGGGGGGCTGGGGGTCCCCTTCGCACTCCAGCAGGGTCACGCCGCTCCCCCATGCCCAAACCTTCACAGGAGTTTTGCCCCAAATTCCCTTTGTCTTGCCCCAAACATCCAACAGAGGTATCCTGAATGGTAAAGTGCCTTAAACCCTGCAATTACTCCCAATCCACCCACTGATCAATTGGACACCTCTGTCTGACTTTTGCATCGCCTCATCCCCATCCCCCCTTTGTCCTGCAAGGCTCTGGGCGGCCGTGACCCTGCTGGAGTGCGGGGGGGACCTCCAGCCCCCCGGGCTGTCCCTGACGTTGCTGTGCTGAGGGTCCGGGTTTGATTTTGGGAGTTTAGAAATGGAATGGGTTCGACAGAGACCTGGAAAGGGGCTGGAGTGGGTCAGAAGTATCATCAGCAGAGGTGGAACCTGGTACGCGCCATCGTTCAAGGGCCGGTTCAGGATGTCCAGGGACAACGGGCAGAGCTCGGTGGCGCTGACCATGAACAACCTCAAGGACGAGGATTCCGGATCCTATTTCTGTGCCAAAACCACTGCTTCTGGAAATGTTAATCCTGGTTATGCTATTGGCCCCGTGCCCATCTCTGCATCCCCCCCTGTCCCCGTTCCCCAGACCCTTCCTCAATCCCCAGCCCCTGATCCCATTTCTCACTCTCTGTCCCAGCCCTGCTCTGGCTCTGCCTTAAATGTCCCCTCTGGGCCACACTCAGTTCCCTCGTTCTCCAAATATCCCCGAAATGCCTGGATTTCGGCCCAAAGTTAAGATCAGGAATCAAGAATTCAAATTTTAGCCCAAAATTCCTGATGTGAGGCCAACGGCGCAGACTTGGGTCTGTGACTCAGTGCTTGAAGGGGAGATTTGGGGTGAAACTGGACAAGTCTGGTGGCAATGGTTGGGATTGGAGGGACGAGGCCGAGCTCAGGGTGAAACCGGCCCTGATTTGGGGCCGGAGCTGAGATCTGGGGCCAGAAGCTGAGATTAGGGGCCAGGAGCTGAGATTTGGGGCAGAACCATTTCAGAGCTGGGACACAGGGACAGGAATGGGGTCAGGAGTTGGGGTTTGGGGAAAGAATCTGGAAAATGAGGAAAAGTGTGGAAAGAGCAATGCGGATGGGGAAAATAGGACTTGCAGCAACAGCCCAAACCGCATATTTGGCACAGAAATAGGATCCGGAGTCCTTGTCCTTGAGGCTGTTCATGGTCAGCATCACCGAGCTCTGCCCATTGTCCCTGGAGATCCTGAACCGGCCCTGGACAGAATCCGCGTACCTGGTCCTGGAACCATCGCTGTTGATGCTGGTGATGATTTCCAGCCTCTACCCGGGTCTCTGTCGAAACCAGCCCAGCCCAAAACTGACAAAGCTGAACCCGGACCCTCGGCAGAGGAGGCGCAGAGACCCCCCGGTGGGCTGGAGGTCCCCCCAACACTCCAGCAGGGTCACGGCTGCCCAGAGCCCTGCGGGACAAAGGGGAGATGGGGATGAGCCCAAAGCTCAACCCTTGACCCAAATCCTGACCCTTGGTCCTAACTTGGGACCCTTGGAGTTCATCATCTTCCTCCCAGGTGGGTCCTGCCCCATTTTCCACATGGCCACACCAGCTTTAAGTCCCTCTACCAATCAGGTTTCCCATACCCATCTCCCCTTTGTCCCGCTGGGCTCTGGGTGGCCATGACCCTGCTGGAGTGCGGGGGGGACCTCCAGCCCCCTGGGGGGTCCCTGCGCCTCCTCTGCCGATGGTCCGTGTTCCATTTCGGCAATTTTGGGATGGGCTGGATGCGCCAGAGACCCGGGCAGGGGTTGGAGTTTGTGGTAAGTGTCACCAGAGATGGCGCCACTCCGAGATACGTGCCGTCAGTCAACGGCCGGGTCACGATCTCTGTGGACAACGGGCAGAGCTCGGCGATGCTGACCATGAAAAACCTCAAGGACAATGATTCCGGATCCTATTTCTGTGGGAAATCTGCTAATGCTGGTTGGCCTGCTGCTGCTACTCATATTGACCATGCCAATTTTGGCTTCACCCTGTCTGAGCCCCCTGTCCCCTATATCACACCCTCCCCCCAAACCTCAGCCCTTGACCCCTTGTCCCAAATCTCCCCCATTTGCTCAAATGATCAGCACTGACCCCAAACCCTCCCCTGCTCCTGCCCCAAATCTGAACCATTGGCCCCAAACCTGCACCCCTGGGCTCCAGATCAGGCCTCCTCCAATCAGGGCTGGGGAATGGGTAGAGATTAGGGAGAAATGGGCAAAATTGGAGGAAAGCACAGAGTTGGGGCAACAATGGCAGAGTCTGGGGGAAAATGGTCGAGGCTTTAGAAGGGCTAAAACTTGGGCGAAGCATCGCTGGGACTGGAGAAATTTCACGACCCGCATGGTCACTGCCGGAAGTCAAGGCAAAAACAGCAGCGGCACCACCACCAGCAAAACCATTGTCACGTTTGGCACAGAAATAGGATGCGGAATCCTCGTCCTTAAGGTTGTTCATGGTCAGCGTCACCGAGCTCTGCCCGTTGTCCCTGGAGATCGTGAACCGGCCCTTGAACGATGGCGCGTAGTTGGTGGAGCCACCATTGCTGTTGATACTGGCTATGTATTCCAAGCCCTGCCCGGGTCTCTGGCGAAACCAGTACATCCCAAACTGTCCGAAATTAAACCAAGACCCCTTGCAGAGGAGGCGCAGGGACCCCCTGGGGGGCTGGAGGTCCCGCCCGCACTCCAGCAGGGTCACGGCTGCCCAGAGCCCTGCGGAACAAAGGGGAGATAGGGATGAGACCAAAGCTCAACATTGACCGTAATCCTGACTCTTGGCCCCAAATTGGGACCCTTGGAGTTCATCATCCTCCTCCCAGGAGGGTCCCGCCCCTTTTTAAAGCTGGCCACGCCCACTTTGAGGCCCTGAACCAATCAGGTTCCTCATCCCCATGTCCCCTTTGTACCGCATGGCTCCGGGCAGCCCTGACCCTGCTGGAGTGCGGGGTGGACCTCCAGCCCCCCGGGGCCTCCCTGTGCCTCCTCTGAAGAGGGTCCGGGTCCAATTTTGGCAGTTTTGGGATGGGCTGGCATCGCCAGAGGCCAGGACAGTGGCTGGAAGCAGTCGCAAGTATCAGCAATGGTGGCAGCGCCTACTAGGCGCCATTGGTGCAGGGCCGTGTCACGATCTCCAGGGACAACCGGCAGAGCTCTGTGACTCTGACCATGAACAACCTCAAGGACGAGGATTCCGGATCCTATTTCTGTGACAAAAGCGCCTATGATGGTTGGGGTTGCGAGGCTCATGCTGCTGGTTCTAATTTTGGTCCCGTCACCATCACCGCATCCCCACCTGTCCCCTTTCCCCAGGTCCTTCCTCCAACCCTTGACCCCATTGTTGCCCCCCACAGACCCAAATCTGGCCTGTTTTTCCCCAATCTCGACCATTTTCACCTATGTTTGGGGACCTTGGTTGAGACTTGGAGCCAAGAGCTGAGGATTGGTGACAAGAGCCGAGATTTGGGGCAGAACCAGCTGAGTTTGGATCCAATGGTCACAAGTGAACCCCGCTTAGATCCGGAGCACACAGGGCAGGGTTGAGGGGATGAACCCTTGAGAATTATTTCAAATTCTGAAAGCCCCTTGAAAATGTGTGAGGTGAGACAATGATTGGGGAAATTGGGGAAAATGGTCAAGATTTGTGGCCAGCTCTAAAGATTTGGGGGTAGAATGTGGGGTTTTGGGATGTTTGTGGGCACAGTATCGAGGAGGGGGCCACCACTGGCATCGTCATCATAACCAGCATCAATATTAGCACCACAAGCACTGCTATAACATTTGGCACAGAAATAGGATCCGGAATCCTCATCCTTGAGGTTGTTCATGGTCAGCGTCACCGAGCTCTGCCCGTTGTCCCTGGAGATCCTGAACCGGCCCTGGACCAAATCTGTGTACCTGGTGCTGGAACCGTCGCTGTTGATGCTGGCGATGAATTCCAGCCCCTGCCCGGGTCTCTGGCGGACCCAGCCCATTACAAAATTCCCAAAATCGAACCCGGACCCTCAGCAGAGGAGGCGCAGGGACCCCCCGGGGGGCTGGAGGTCCCCCCCGCACTCCAGCAGGGTCACGGCCGCCCGGAGCCCTGCGGGACAAAGGGGAGATGGGCATAAGGCCAAAGCTCAACATTGACCCAAATCCTAACTCTTGGCCCCAAACTGGGACCCTTGGAGTTCATCATCCTCCTCCCTGGTGTGTCGCAATCCTTTATCAAGCTTTCCCCTCCCAGTTTTTTGGCCTGAAACAATCAGGTTCCTCATCCCCATCTCCCCTTTGTCCCGCAGGGCTCCCGGCGGCCGTGACCCTGCTGGAGTGCGGGGGGGACCTCCAGCCCTCTGGGGGTTCCCTGCGCCTCCTCTGCCGTGGGTCCGGGTCTGATTTCAGGAGCAATGGAATGTTCTGGATGTGTCAGAGACTCGGGCAGTGGCTGGAGTGGCTTGTGGGGATCAGCAGGGACGGTTCCAGCGCCCAGTACGGGGCGTCATTCAAGGAGCGCGTGAGGATCTCCAGGGACAACAGGCAGAGCTCGGTGACGCTGACCATGAACAACCTCAAGGACGAGGATTCCGGATCCTATTTCTGCGCCAAATCTGCTGATAATTATTCGGGGAATAATGCTTGTGGAGGATTTTATTAAGAGTTGGTTAGCTGAGAAAGGCCATACTGACTTAATGCCGCTGGTTAAGCTTGAAAGGGAGGTCAGCAGTCTCTGATTCAGTGACTGCTGACAGGCAAGAATACCGGATGGCCTTGCTGCAACATGAGGAAAGGGAGGTGAGATTAATCCTGAATATCTGCAGAATGTAACAGAAGAATAAGCACAAGAATGTAGAAGTAGGTGTAGTTGCTGATATGTAACTAACCAATCCTGAGCTCAACTTTTGCAATATGTATGAAGCTTATTAAGAACTATATTTAACCCGCCGTATTCGATCAATAAATCGGACTTGGATGAACCAATTGGTGTCTGGGTCTCCTTCCTCCGACAAATGGTGGAGAATGCGGGCAAAGGCAGCATTCTGAACGTTCGCTCTCTTGGATTATAAATTCGCCACGATCGAGGAAGTTGGGTGAGAGTCCTTGCAGCCGGGACGGTGCCAGATTTTTAAAAGCACCCTTGAGGATTACAAAAGGTATCTCAAGTCTCTACGTGTCGCCGAGAGCCTGGAAGGCTGCAACAGCGCGCGCTGATATATAGGTATGGATAGGCAAGCGACATACGATTCCTTCTCCTCATATTTAGAAAGACGAGGAGTAAAAGGGATAGATTTAAAATAGGAATTACCAGGGTTATTAGCTTATGGTTATTCTAAAGTAATTTTTGCTAATTCATATACAGTTCATGAGATAGTAGAGTGGAAAAGGTTTGCGGATATCCTGTGGGATACAGTGTTAGATGATGATAAGTCAGCAAAGACATTTGGCAAGTTATGGCGGGTGGTGTATAATACGTTACTTCAGCAGGTCTCTGAGAGAAAGGCAGCAGAAAGGGCGACAGAAGCTCATAAGAGGAATATAGGGTATGGTCGTGAGGATGATCCCTTAGCACCTTCTGTAACTCAGATACTTATGCTTAAGGGTCCCCAGCAAAATGGTGTGGAAAATTTTCCCTTAGATACAGTGGAACCATCTGCACCCTTCCTGTCAGAGGGGGAGGGCGAGTTGGATGGTGGGGGTGGGAGCAAGCCAGCTTCGCCTCTGCCGCCAGCTTCAGCCGAGTTGGATGGTGGAGGTAAGAGCAAGCCAGCTTTGCCTCCGCTGCCAGCTTCAGGCGGGTCGGATGGTGGGGGTGGGAGCAAGCCAGCTGCGCCTCCGCCGCCACCTTTGCCTCCGCCGCTTCCCCCGAGCGGGCCGCCTCCGCGGGGGAGCCGCTTCCCCCGCGCGAGTCGTCTCCGGTTTCACTGTCAGCTCCAGCAGCGGAAAGAAGTGCAGCGGGGGGGCCACTTCCCCCGCGCGAGCCGGCTCCTGCTCCACCGCCTTCCCCGTGCGAGAACTCGGTCTCGGTACCGAAGTGCCAGCAGCATAGCACCCTTAAAGAGTCAGATCCCATCCCGGGGGCACACAGTGACCTATGGGGGGAGATGGCTAAACAGAGGAGGGAAGCTTGGGCTGCTGTGGCAAAAGAAGTAATGCAAATGGGGGATGGCGAGGCGGTGGAAGTAGCTTCTAATCTTGCATGTCCGGTCACATACACACCACAGTATGATGCACAGGGGAACCTTACACATAATATAGCGGAATATACTCCCTTAGATTGGAAGTTGTTAGCCCAGTTACATTCTATGGTTAGTTTGGAGTAAAAAGTGAACCTGTTAGGCAAATGCAAGAGTGTTAGCTACTTTAGGGGCAAATTGGACTATTGAGGAAGCTTTAGAGCGAATGGCATTAATGCCAACAGCTTCACAGGCATTTATAGTAGAAACTTTAAAGGAATTAGGATTAGGGTTACAAAAGCAAGCAGAGTCTACTCAAAATCAGGTGTTAGCTGCTCAGAATCAGGTGTTAGCTGCTCTTGCTCCTCTCCGAAGCGGCTCACTGGCGGACACGCAGAGCTCGAGACCATTCATCAAGTGTTACTGATGCGGCAATGAGGGACATACGCGCCCAGACACAAGTAGCCGCCGTGACATCGGAGACATCAGCTGCTGACGTAACATCACTGTCACCTCCTGTCTGCAACAACAACAGCAGGGAGCCTCGGTTTGGATTTATCAGCAGCAGTAGACATCACACTAATGACGAACCGGCCTGAGAGGATACAAACTGGAGTAAAGGGTCCTCTTATATTAAATGGATAAAGATGTGGAGCATTGTTATTAGGACGTTCTTCAATAACTATGCTGGGAT